TTTCATTTTTCTATTGCTAGGTATCTCGCACGGTGCTTTCCGCAATTGTCTCTCATTTGTGCAAGGGGTTTCAGAAAAGCTTGAGCCCGACATAGCCAGGTGGTTAGGGAGCTCGACTCGCAATTTGCGGGTCACGGGTTCAAATCCCCATCCCACCAAATATGCTCGCCCTTTCAGCCGTAAGGGCGTTATAATGTGACGATCAATCCTACTATTTATTGATAAAAGAGTAACCCAAGAGTTGGCGGTGGGTGGTCATGGCTAGTTGCCTTCCCTCTAGTCTTACGCTGCTAAATTAGGGACGGCTAACGCAGATAGCCCTCGTGTAGCTCTGCGCGCGAAATTCAAAAACAAACAAAAAAGCTTATTAACTCGGGCTTTGAGTATTTTGTTGTTTATGAAGTAGAAGCTATACTTCTGTGTCATGCCCTTATAAGCTACGTAGATATCTCCGTTATAAACATGGATCGCCAAGCTCTTCTCGATAGCATTTTAACATCCTTGGCATGGTTCTCTCCCGTTGTATCAAAATCATTAACAGCTTCTGTTTTCAACGTGTTTGCGGCAATTTTCTTTTTGGTAGTGGTGGTGGAGAAATCAAATAATCTTCTTTTTATTAATAAAAATTTGAACATATATATTGAGAATCTCGAGGATGCCAGAGTTACTGAAAACTTTAAATTAGTTTCATCACTAAATATTAAAATTAACGTACGTTTTCTACTGATTTTAACATGGTTCGTTTTTCTTTCTTTTTTTAATCCCTTTAATGGCTAAATATGAATAGCTTTTTCTAGAACTACATTATTATATATCTTTGATCTCCAAACATTGTTTTGAGAGAGCATAATAAGGATACACTGACTACAACATCAGCCTGCTGCATGGCAAATATGTTTCACACTACATCATAAATAATCTGTTTGGTTAAAGGATAAGTGGAAGATGGATTTGAAATAAGCTCCCGTATTTTGCAGATATTATCACACTTATTTTTCTGTTCAAAAGAAATATAAATGGAATTATTTTGGAAACAAACTTTTAAATCGAGACATTTTGTACATAATTATTTACATAACTTTGGATATGGTAGTTCTTGTTATACTGTACAAAATCTGTCCAGCAGTAAAGAACTTCCAAGGTCATAAGTGGAAAATGGTTCGAACTGTCGACACTTACGAGATGTGAATGATATTAATCAACCATAAATGTAGTTTAAACTTTTAAAAAAAGTTGAAATTAACCGTTTACAAGTCTTTCCTTAATTTTAGAATATTTGAACTATTATATAGGTGAAACAGAAACCAATGGTATTCAATTTGGAGCACAAAAATTAAACTTTT